ATGGAGGTTAGTCTATCACGCATCCCAATTTGCTATCTAGGTGCCAAAAAATAGCGCAACTGTTTCTTAGGATGACCCCTTGAATTTTGTTTCCTTGTCGTTATCTCTAGTTAAAGAGTCTCAAATTTGCGTATTAATGTCAAGTCACCGTCATTCTACACGAAATACCAAGATACACCGAATGGGAAACATCAAAACACGTCATGCTTATATTTTCAGTGATAGCATTTGTAACTCAAGCGCTAAAAGCAGTAATGCATTTACGCAGAGACCATGAATTATGTTTGTCGAGGCCTTGACAGCACCAAACCCTGTAACTATAGAGGTGACAGTGCCATAACCAAAGCATAATCACCTTATAGATCGGTTCATTGATGAATTCCGCAGTTTTGTATGAGAAATGGAACCGAACTATTTGTGCTATTTTTTCAGAAGGAAGTCTCCCATCCGGCAGTGTTCTTCGATGCCAGTTATATATGCAGTCCGGATTACGAGGTCGTTTCTGGTAGAGCCAATATTGTGCCCCTTGGAAGTCTTCCAGACTTTATTATCGCCACTTCGCCAACCATCTTTACCACAGGAGATTTCCTATTCTTGCTCGTTCGACAGAGGACCACTCTGGTTGTAATGCTTGATGAGTAGGAAGTCTGTTCTAACCACGCACCATTCAAAGAGCTTTGCACAAAATACTTCATTTAAATTTCAGCATGGCATCTATTCGTAGAGAAACGCTGGCCTTATTGGTTATGGAACAAAAGGTGATAACCGAGGAAGATTCAATGACAGCTCGCTACTGGCCGAGTGGAAATGGAAATACTGAAGACAAATCCACCAATTTGGAAAACTTCTTCTCCACCTATCACGCTTGCCAAGTGATTCAACATTCTGAGCAAGAGGGTAAAAACTGGACTGTGAGAAAATTGTCAGTTTCTCCTGTCGATGCTATGCAGGTTAGTTCGACATATCTCCATTTAAGTGTGACAAAATGATTGCCTATCGTTTTAATTGACAAATACTTTTAGCTGTTGGACGGGTTTAAAGTGTGAGATCATGAGAAGGAACCACCTAACAAGTTTTAAGCATTAGTTTACGCAGGTCTGATTGCTATATTTTTATGGTAAATTTCAAGTCCATTTATTTATGAGCTTTGCATTAGTTCCTTTTACTTCAAAACCATTAATTTCTCGTTCTTTATCTTGAGTCTAAGTATTGAACTACTCGATGTTAAAATCCTATTCAAGGTTAATAAAAGATGCAAAATGGCTAGGGTATTACCGTGGGAGTTTTTAATCCAAGTACAATTCATACAGTGGTGAGGCAATGGACGAACGTCTACCAAGTCGGGGAGGAAACAATGCTCATTGTCTTCTAATCTAATGATGCAGTTGACTTCTCGCATTGAATACTTTTCTCCAGGAGGTTGAGGAGGAGGGGGGAGGAGGAGGGAGGAGGTGGAGTATCATAAAATAACTGAGGAACACTATTCCTCAGCACAAGTCAGCTGTGAACTCCTTTTCACTCGGCTTTGGAAGTTTAATTATTGACCAGTTTCAAGGCTATTGCACGTATAACCTGTCACGACGAAAATAAAGGTATTCATTAGTAGGTGATTCCCTGTGCTCTCCCGAACTCAAGTTTCCACTAGGAAACCATCGTATGTCTTCGTGGTTTATTTAAATTTGTGGTATAAGCCACTTAAATAGTCCTTGAGTGGGTGTTGGCCGAGTTCACCTTCTCCTATCAGCGATGTGCTGAACCATTCCACCTATTTATGTTACTCTTACCCCCATGAAACTATATAAGACTCCAGACACACTTATTAAACTCACTCTCGATTCTCTCTTTATCCCACTTCTCCTCAGTGCTCTTCGACTCTCCAATCAATTTTTGGTGATAGCTTCTACCTATTAGTCTTAACTTCAAATTCGTCAATTTTGGCTCGTGTTACCCAAACAAGGTGATGGCCATTGATTACTTAGTATACACCAATAACATATTTTTAGTGTGTACCTTAAGTTGATATGCCATGCACCGATTCTAAAATGTGCCAAACTCTTTTCATGAAATTAGCCATGGCCGTTCATTCAATTTCAATTCAACGGTTGGCCGAAAAATGGTGTTCCACGAGTGGATATTTTCTACGATTTGATCATTCAATGTTTGGAACATCTAGAGACTTATCCTCTCGGAGATGAATATGGTCCGCCCTTAATTCACTCTAGGTAAGAAAGATTTGTGCTTGAGCACAGGCACATCCAAATCAGAAGTAATGAGGTTAAGGTGATTGTGAAAACTTAGTTAAAATACTGCTTATGAG